GCCGCGGGTCGGCGCGGAGAGGCGAAGAGGCCGCGAGCGTGCGCGACTCTGTGCTCGTTCCCGCGTCCTTGCGCCCTTCTTATTTATTTATTTTCTCTAAGTAAGTTGCACGCAGCGGTGGGGGAGGCGCGGGCGCTGCAGAGCTGCTCTTCCCTTTACATCTCGCCTTTTCTCCCTTTTCATCTTGCCGGGGGCTCCTCGGGTAACCACGTAGCCGAGGCTGGGATAGTTTAGAAGGAGGGCTGCTTTTGCCGAAGGAAAGAAAGATTTACCTTTTATACCTTATTTCTGTATATGTCAGTTTTCTTCAACACCGATGCTTCTCGCAAAAGAGTCAGAGTTGCTCTTTCATTAAATAACCCTGGGGGGTGTGTAGGGGTGGCTGTTGCGGGTGCGTGGGGCTGCCGGGATGGAGAAAGGGTGAAGTCCTTGCGGTTTGAACCCAGTGTTCCTGGAAAGAAGGTGCGAGAAAGCTGGATAGAATGGGCTAAATCTGCGCTGCAGCGCGGCTAGGTCAGGGGAATGCTAAGCACAGGGAGAAAAAGAAGGAAAAAGGGGGGGGGGGGGGGCGGGTAGGGTGTTAAATACTCCCCTGGCCCGGGAAGGTGGTTATTCAGAACAAAGCGTTTGCACAGCGGTGTTTAAGAGGACGTTGGGGTTTTTTGCCTGCACTGCAAATAAATCTCTGGTCAAATGAAGCTTTCCTGTAACTCTTACATGTCTTGTAAATGAGACGTTCACAGAGCAGGTTTTGTTTTGTTTGAAGAGCAGGGGACGGTTGGAAAAAGTTCTGTTAGCATGCACATTTGGAAACTTAAGACGGGGAAACTTGGGATTGGGATCAAGAAAGCACAGACTCTCTGTGCAAACATTTCATTAAACTGTTTGCTAACCAACAGCAAGTATGTTAACATTTGTATAATAGAAAAGTGTGTCAAAAGGTTTTCCACTGTTTGCATTTTTAAAAAGCCAGGAGTTGCTCTGCTAGGTTGCAGAGACTCTTTGGCTGGCCTCTCCATAGCTGAGGAAGTGGCACCAGTGCTCCAGTTAACTGGCTGCTATGAGAGTAGGAGATGCCTTATTATAATTATTTATGTGCTGCTTCCAAGCTGTGACAATTTGAATGAGAGTTCAGAGGTACTCACTGAAGCTTTAAACTTCATTGGAACATGGAGCAGCTTCCTTCATAGCATGAATTTGGCTCTGCATATTCATCCTTCACATGGATTGGGAATGAGGGAAGTCCCCTTCATACTTGAGAGCTGGTGCTGTTTAATGGGGGGCTAGTGCTTTTAACAGTGACTGTTAAGAAGAAAGGGGAAGACAGAGCTGTACTTTGCTGAAAATCTTTCTATTTTCAGCCTAAACAGTCCAAATGCCGAGTTCCTGTTTCTGCATTCTTGGCTAGAGGGAGAACTCTGATTTTGAAATCAATAGGAGCTTTGATTCCTTAAAAAGTGATGAGTAAGACCTTTAGAGTTCACATTCAAGGAGTGAAGGTGTCAAGCCTGGGGTGCACGAAGAAAGAAGTTAGCTGAACCTGTGTGATCCATAGTGCCCTCCTCCTCATGGGGACTGCTCCACTCTTGGCTCTAAATTCAGCACTCCCTGGTATGCACCCTCCCCAAGCAGGATCACATCCCCGGCAGTGTTCAGGGCCAGGTTGGACGGGGCTTGGAGCAACCTGCTCTAGTGGAAGGTGTCCCTGCCTGTGACGGGGGGTTGGAACTGGGTGAGTCCCTTCTAAGCCACACCATCCTATGCTCTCCCTTACACACAGCTAGGTCCTGCATCACAAGCTACGCTTTCAGTCTTTCCTAGTTTATAGAAATTGCTAGAAAGCAGTACAGGGTGGTGTATGTTACAGTAGCTTCTTCACAGCAACTGTAGCAGGCCACTGACTTACTTTCCAGTTAATTTTTCTGGGGGAATGAAAGTGTTAACTAGCAGTGTGTATGTTCAACTGTTCTGATCTGCTCTTTAGAAAGGGAGTAAGTAAGTCTCCTAGCAGTTGTGTTTCTGTTACAAGGCTGCAAAGGTAACACAGCACCAAGTCTTGTGAAACTAAGTTAATATGCTTTGCAGTTTAAAATGTGGAATTACAACTGTTGCAAATTGAAGTGTAAGAAGTGCTGTTGAAATGTGATGGCCTATCTAAACTGAAATGACTGACCTGGTAATTATTTAATGCACACTAAGAATATTTTTTATTTATTTCTGGGAGAGGAGGCAAACTAATGAACTGGACTAATGGCAGAAAACCTAGTAGGTACAGTATTTATATTTAGGATATCCAGGTTTATAACATTTTATTGTGTCATTTCTTGCAAAATTCATTGAGTATGTGAGGAAAAAAAATACCACTGTTTAAAACCAGGACATTAAACCACCAAAAATATGTTCAAATACCGCTGAGAGTCTGAGTTAAACCCACAAAAGCCAGGAAATTTAGACTTAAGACTTAAACTTCCTTAATCCATTTGCACTGGGAGTTGGATTTTCCTGATCAATTATGTCCATTGCCAGCAGTGGCTACACTAAAACCACCAGTACCAAGATGTTAACTCGGATCCCTCCTCCTTGTTGTGTTCCTCCCCTGTTCCTGTGTGTTGGCACTACCACTGTACTGCCTATGTTGAAATATTTAGAGTCAATGGGCTATTTGAACATGGGCTTTCAGGTTTCGTGCTGAATTTCTTGGCTTCTGTGGTTTTTCAGTGAGCCATCAAGTATAATTTTAAGGAACGTCCAGATTTCCAGGGTGTTCCTTGCACATCAGTTATCATTGTGCATTCCCAATATTATTTCTTTAATGGGAAAAAAAAAAAAAGAAAGTGGCTGGCAGCCAAGGCAGCAACTAGTGGGACTTAGCTATTTAGCTGATAGGAATATCCAAACTTGGAAAAACTCCCAGCCAGTTACAGTTACACTGCAGGAGTCTCGTATGAGGGAGAAATGCCGTGTAGACAAATACCTTGGAAGGTACAGGAACACTGGGCTTATGCAGTATTTGGGGGGAAAAATGTGCTTTGCCTGTATTTTTGTGGATGGTAGTTTAAAGAGAAAATATTTTTGAAGCTCATGATGAAAGGAGATGCTTGTCCTTTGACACAATTACAGAACTAATGACATTTTTTTGCTCATTACCTTTAAAATGTATATTGTACACCTAGATATCTTTCTGATTTTAATAGCAGAAGATTTAAAATGTGTTGCTTTTTTTAATGTTTGTTTGCCCCCCCCCCCCCCTTTCCTATTCTGTAACTTGAATGAATTTAAGAAAGAAAAAGTGTTCAGGGAGCAAGGGGATGCTTCACTTAGAAGAGTCATTGCTTTGGCAGCAAGGGCGCTGATGCATGTGGAACGCCAAATTGTTCGTCTTTTATACGTATCACTATTTTATAACGGAAAATGAAACATGTAGACTAATCTAGTGGCTTGTTGCCCTTCCAGATGCTGCTGGCAGTTGATTAATGTTTTTTTTCTTCACTGCATTTGTTCTTCTTAAAGGAAATTCCAGTGATTCAGAAGAAGATGATGACCGGAGTACCAGCAGCGTAGAAAATCAGGCCATCCCAAACTCTCACAGGGTGCCAGATTCCAAATCGCATCCACCACACATCAAAATAGATATCATCAGGAAAGTGCAAGCCAAAAACACACAGCGCTATAAAGTGGAGTATGATTCGCAGAGTACGGACACACTGAATTTCTCTTCTGAATCCAAACAAGAAACTGAATATGTAAGTACGTTTTGTAGACGGAAAGGCATTTTTTAGAATGTGAGTGTGTGCAAGCAAATATATGCATGTTCTGCATATGACAAGATAGATAAATAAATAACTAAATGGTGGTAATTGTAGTAGCCATTTAGGGCATTCTTGCTGCTTAACCGGTAAAACTATTGGATTGGCAAATGTGTGCAGTCAGCAGACTGAGCAGATCACATTCAGAAAACAGAGGTCTAATGCAGTGATACTTACATTGATACAAGTATGACTTTCACTAAGTTATTTCTTAGAGACTGAAAGTTCTTTTTCTTCCCTGTAAGTATCACGCATTTGTGTGAGGGGACTTGAGACAGGTTTAATATTGTCGTCGTTAAATTTGGTTGTAGAAACAGCATTATTGGGTTGCAATAATGGAAAAAAGATGTTTCACATTCAGTGTAGTGGCACTGTATTCACACTCCATGGATCAAATCAAGGGAGGTAAACTTAGGTTAGGTTGAGGGCTAGGATATTGACTGGTCAGTCATTGTTTGTACAACATGCTGAACATTGCCTTCACTTGCAGTCATCATTTGGTGCCACTGCCTAAATGCAAAGGCTCACTGGCACATGAGCTGCCATTGCTTTCTACTGACTGTGCCCAGTGGATTTGCAGGGCAGCTGGAGTTTGTTGAATCTGAGGGGAGAATAATTCCTCTTCCTGGACATCCTGGCTGATAATCCTGTGGTTATCCTTGTTCCTGTGCCAGATGGCCTAAAAAATATGTCTGGGAAATACTTTGGTGTTTCATCAAAATAGTTGTGGTTAAGCCAGATGTGGATTCCCGTCTGCAAAAGAAGGGTTTAAAACCTGTATGAGGTGGAAAGATGTGCCTGAAGAGAGCAGCCTCCAAGTTAACACAGCAAGGGTGGTGAAGCTGCATGTTTAGTTTGTCACTGTTGTCCAGCTGTCTAGTAAAAAAACACTTTAGTATCTGCCTTTCAGGGTATCCTCTCCCCCAGGACATGAAGTAAACTGCCTACATAAAAGAATGAACTTTGGTAGCTCTCAGGAAATAGGATCCTGGTGTTAGCTAGGATGAACATTTCACTTGTGTGGTAGCTGGGCCCCATGAGCAAAGGCACACTGGCTTACCGAGGCTGCTGGTGTCTGTAAGAACCAGAAATAAGTCCATCGAGGACAGGTGCCTTTGTCAGCAAATGCCCTTCTAGCTGTGTCTGCATGTTAGCTTTTGATACCGATCTCTCTGACTTTGGAAGCCTGCTTCAAAATAATAATTAAAAAAGGACTGTTGATCTTTTTGTAGGCCTAACTTGGGACCAAATCTCTGAACGTCTGTGATTTGCAGTCAGTGTGTCTGAGCAGTTTTGGGGTTTTTTAAGGAACTGCCCATAAGAGCAGCATCTTAAAGTGTGTGTTTAGAGCTTGTGAGATTGATACTGAAAGAAAACATGAAAGCAGCAAGAAAGGTTTTAGTTAACAAAAGAAAATCAATTTTAAACTCCAGTAGAACTGTAGAGTCTATGCTTTCAGACACTAAAGGCACTTTACATGAGCAAGCTATTAATATTACCACTTGAAAGTACAAGTGTCATTACTTCACTAATTAAAAATTGCACCAAATGAGTCTTTGTGTTGATACAGCAATTTACATGTTTTAAACCCATGCAACCACGCAAAGGAGCTTTTTTGGGTCTCTGCTGAAGGAAGGAGCTGGTGGACCATGTCAGTAATGTGCCCAGACAGGAGTATAGCTAAGCACAGAGTTTGCAGGTTGTGCCTCCTGAATCCTGATCCCATTGCTGACAGACTGCCTTTTGGCCTCTGGCAAAACGTGAACTCCTCCGCTTCTGGTTTTCTGACTGCAGAGTGGGGCTTGTAAGCCTTTACTCCCTACCCTGGAGGGCTGCAGTGAGGAGTAATTAATTGGTGTTTGAGACATGCTCTTGAAAGTGCTTCTGGAAGTTCTTTTTTGCTCATTGTTCTAGAGCTAATCCTCGCTACATTGTTGTCAGCCTTTTGCAGATGGAGAAAGTAAGGCAAAAAGTTATCTATTGATATATCTCATTAGGTGACTTCTCTAACGAGACTTGTGTGCAACCATTTCTTTGCATGGCTGCATCCATTTGGTCCAGTTGAAATTGGCACTTGTCCAAAGTTGCAGTATTTATACATATATATGTGCATGCATACACATTATGCCAAACTACCTGTTTTCAATTAAATACATCTCATTTAAACTTTCAAATCCAGCAGAATCATGAAAATCAAATGGCTTTAGGGAAAATCTACCAAGTGATGTATTTCCAGTTGCCTGCCTACCTTCTTTTCCCACTTGGTGCAAGGCCAGTTTTTCAAACCTAAGTTATGTTATATATTACTGATTTACACACCTACAGGAAGGCTTGACCAGTATCTGTGGCTGTGATTTCAACTGGAAATGCCAGTCTGTGGCTCAGCATAGCATAGGGCCTTCAGTGTTTAGAAATCGGTTTATCCTGAATTAAGCAGAAAGTCTGAATTTTATCTGTGAATGAATGGTCTGCCATTTGACATACTCGGCCATCCCTTTGTTTTAACGGATTTGTTTGGGTTTGTGCTTCTTGCCCTTTCTTGCCATTTATTAAACTCTTGTGTGAAAGACAACATTTGGGAATGAAGTTTCATCAGTGTTTTCTGAAACGTGCTTGCTAACAGGGTCCCTGTCGTAGAGAGATGGAAGACACTTTAAACCACCTAAAGATCCTGAATGTCTTGAGTCCCAGGGGTTTTCATATTCCAAATTGTGACAAGAAGGGGTTCTACAAGAAAAAGCAAGTAAGTACAGATTCTTGATCATTTAACTGAATGCACTTCACCTTTTCTGCATCTTTGCTGAAGGATCTTGCTAGCAAGGTGTGTTATGTACCATTTTACAGAGGAACTAGTTCATTTCCAGTTTTAGGATCTGATCTGATAGTGCTGAACCTTGTCAACTGGGGACAGTATTTTTATTTTATGTTAGTCATGACAGCAGGTTTGTTTGGGAAACTTCATACCTAATCACACATGGGTTGTCTGGCGTTCTACATACTAATGCCCTTTGGTTTAAAAAAGGCAGTGCTTCTGCAATAACCCACAGAGCTAATGTTGCAGTCACCATATGACTGCAATAGATCAATGCTTTGAATTGTAAATAGCTGCTTGAGAGTTCCTAGAAGAACTGCACTGGGTCATATTACCAAAGGCAACTTGAGAAAGGTATATATCTGTCCTCTATGTGCTGCACGGGTCTCTTCCAAAATCCAAGTCATGTTATCATGAAAGTGATACATCTGGTAGTTACTCTACAGCAAGGATGGCTTCTCAGCCCTCTTTGGTGCGGGGGTTGTGACCTTTCTTGACAAATGCAGACCTAAGCTGCAGGTATTTATGCTTTAGTTGTGTGGGGTTGAACCATGGCAGCATTCTCCATTTAGTGCTGCTGCCCTTGTAAGCTCATTCAGGAACTTGTGGAAGTGCAAGACATGCCAGTTTTTCTGCTTAGTGTGCACATCCCATCTAATTCCAGTGTTCAGTGACTTGCCTCCAAATGTATAATTCCAAAATCTCCTGAAATCAAGTTTATTTCAGATTTTCCTCAAGGCAAACCCTCTGTAAGGACAGATGTTTGTGGACCGTCTTGTCTCTCTCATTTGGGTTGATACAAGTCATCCTCTCTGTCTCTGGTAACCAAAGGAGTGGCTGACTCTGTTAATAGCTAATGCAGTTCATTAGCTGGAAGTGAGAGCCTGACCTCCAACCAGGCAACCTTATTTTAGGAATGGTATCTCTCCAGTTTTTGGCTTCTAGCTTTCTTAGAAACAGTCTTTCCCTTTTGGATATTCCCTGGAGCAATGTATTTAAGCTGGCGGTGTCAGGTGGGGTGTTTGCAATAGGCACAAGGTTTACAGCCTTCCCTTCTGCCATCAGCACGGCACCAACTTGGGCTGTTTGACCTTTGGTGCGTGCTGCTGAGCTTATCTGTGCTCCCCAGCTTTTCCCTAGGCTGATGGAGCTGGAACAGGGTTTCTTTTAGGAGTTTTGAGAAGCCTGTATCATTTGTCTCCTGCTGCATGTGAACTAGCAGAGAGCAATGCTCACATCTCGGTCTGTGTGTGGTCAGAAAGTATGCTGGGCTGCTGTGTGGAGTGAGGCTAAGACTGATTTGTGCCTGTGCCGTAGAAGCATTTCTTAGCTACTTCAGAACAGCACATCATTTAACTGCATTCAAGGCACACAAGCATGCTATGGCCCTTTTCCTTCTCTAGGCATTACAGAAGACCGCAGATTGGTATTTACTTTGTTCAGTAGATCTTCCTTTCATCTGTTTTCAGACTCTGAGGTTTTTGCTTCATCAGCAAAAAAGTGGTGGTTTGCATGCAGTCTCTGGCATGTGTATGTATGCAGTAAATCAGATCCACAGTAAGCACGTATTAAAGTGCCTTACTTTAAAGGGTGACTGTACTTTAAAGTGCAATCATAAGTTTTGCCACTGAGGCAGGAAAAACGGAAATAGAGGGGAAAAACCAGGAAAGACAGATAATACACTTACCTAGTCTTTGTTCCTAGTTGATTTATGAGACTAAGGTATTGATATGGAGCAAAGACATGCTTCTGCCCTCTGTGTAGTGTCCATGCTGCTTTAGGAAAAGTTCCTGCTCTGTGTGCAACAGCTCATCCGGCCAGCAAACTTAGGGGATGAAGGGGCACTTTCATAACCTGGCCAGCCTTGTCAAGCACGGTGCCAATTTACATAGGTCCAATACTTTCAATGGTAGTTTGACACAACTCAGGATCTTGTAGGTGATGCCCACGAATAGAGCCCATGTGAGTAAATATTTTACATGAATGCAGTCGGAATGCTTCTCCTGCAAATGAACCTAAATCCAGCCTGGGAACAGGCCTTCACAGGCAGGGCTTACACAGGCAGGCTGCTCCTCGCACAAAACATAATACCAAATACAAAAACAACGTATTTGAGTAGCCCTTGTAGAATTGACATGTATTAAAAATCATCAGTTTTGAGAAGTGAGTGAGTCTCAGTCCTGTCCAGGCTGAGTTCACTGTCTGCAAGGCAATGCAACAGTTGCGTTCGTCTGGTTTTCTTTGTTGGAGCGTCAACATGTAGGTCTGATACTTTAGGCACTGTGAGCAGGTGCTTAATCTCATTAACTGAATGCTAGGGTATTGTATTGTATTAATTTCATTGCTATTATTAGCAGCATTCAATCTGCAATTCAGTTATATTCTGTTGTGACAACAAAATTCATAATAATAGGTTAGGAAATAGTAAACCCATCAAAAAAACAAGTGTAAACTAGGTGTTCTTAATTCTGGAAACAGCTGGCAAAATCACTGCCAAGGATTATAATGTAGATAGGTGTGTGATGGCAGGAATCTGATAAATTAGGTCACCCTGGAAACAATTAAAACACATTTAGGAGGTGCTTCATACTCATATAGTCTGCCTTCCTGGTCACTTACTCTTCCAGTCATGGTGAAAGCAGTTATTTTTCAAGACATTTGTGGATATCTAGAAATGGACTTTTCAGGAACAACCACAGGGAGTAATTTGCATATGTGAAACAATTATGAGAACGTAAATTAATCTGTCAGAGTGTAACACGAGAAATATTTCACACCTTGTGTTTATATATAAACTTTTTTAAAATCAAGCCTATTAAAATTTAGAATTCTTGGTGTTAATAAATCACGCATGTAAGGTTGTACTGTTCAGCTGTGGTACATAGGTGTATTTACGTGGAATAGGTTGATACAGGCATGTTTCTGCCTCAAGCATGGAAAAAAAGGTTTTGATGACATTAGAATTATTATATGGGGCAATTACTAGAATTGCCCCATATTTGTGTACTGGAGCCAGATACTCACCTAAATGTGAGCTGGCATCGTTCCACTGAAAACAGAGCTGGGCTTGGCAGGAGCCAAAACGGCCTGAGGTGTATGTCAGTGCTGTCTGCAGTCTGTTCCAGGAGACCACAGTTGTAGCTCCATGGAGACCTCTGGGCTGACCAGGAATTCAATGGGATACCATATGCTTTGCTGTGCCCCACGAATGCCTCTGCGGCACTTCTTTGTGGAAGGGAGAGGGGCAGGTGGCATGGAAGCTGGCAGCTGGTGTTTCTATCAGAAGTAATTACTGACTCCACAGCTTGGGAGGTTTTCCAGCTTTTTGGACTTCTGAAGTCATACAGAAGAGCTAGGCACAGCCTTGAAATGTATGTCGAGTGCAAAATTCAGAAGAGTGGATTTTTATTATTCCATATGAACTCTCTGCCACTTATGTAGGGAATGCAAGCTAGCTGCTTCAGGGTAAAAGCATCACTTTGAATCAGAAATGCTTTACTATTGACACCATGGCTGAGCAAGTAGTACAAAATCACAGATTGGGAAATAAAGAAAACAGTAGTAGTAAGGAAGGTGTTCCTGCAGACTAACTTCATGTTGTAGTTAATTCTGAAAATCGATTATGCAACTGTAAAAAGCAATCAAAACCTCCAACAACATGAGATAACTTTTAATTGATCATTTGTTTTGAGAGTGATGCAAGCCTATGAATCAGCAAGAGTTGTGTAACATACTTCATATAGTACTTCTAAAAGGGGAGGCTGTGTTACTATTATTAGCAGAAGTGTAGTTTCATTACTGGAGCACCAGGCTGGCAGCCAGAAGCCCTGTGCTCTAATTCAGCCTCCATCTGTGCCTGCTCCCTTGGGAAAAACAAGAACTGCTGCCTCAGTTTCCTTTTCTGTAAGATTTAAATGCGGCAGAGACTGTTGTTTATGAATTCCTCAGGTTTGAGCATGAAGAATTGAAGTCACTAAATGTTAATACCACTTAAGCTAGAGTCCAGTCCACTTGCCATCAGAATTGAAAGCAAATTTCCCATTGACATCAGTGGACTTTGGGCAGGCGTTGACGGAAATCCTGGAGAATACATGCAAGCCCCAGTCAGGCTTTTGAGGCAATAAATATGAGTTGTAAAACTTAGGTTTAAAAGATTTGGTACAGAAAACCAGCCAAATAGGTAACTGGAACTCAAACACAGCTAACCACGTAGTTTAACAAATTATTAATGTAGCTGTTCTCTCAGTAGGTTTGAACTTCTTCACCCTTTCCTAAAATAAACTGATACGTACTTTGAGCTTGATCTGGTCATCCTGCTGACATCCATTTGCATAGGGCTAATGCAAATTCAGAGAAGGTGGTGTTATATTATTTCTGCATTGGGCTTGTTACACAAAATGTATCACAAGGGTAGATTAATTTGTGGTTACAGTGATGAACATTACTTCATTTACTGTAAAATAAAATAAACGAGATGGAATCGTCTTCAGAAATTTGTGTTGAATGTGTGGTATGTTCCATCTCTCTCTCACAAGTTCCTAGTGAAGACTTATTTACCCTATTCCGTGCTGCCACAAATTGGTTGGATCAGGGATCAGTGTGTTGGTGCAGACCATCCTAGTAATGACCCATATTCACAATTCTGTTCAGAATAGCACCCTTTTACCTGAGGCCTTGAACTAGACATGGAAATGGTCAGGCATTTTTGGCAGCATGTGATTGATGTTTCCTGTGTACTTGCACATGGGAAAGACACTTAGCTTTGTAAGCCGCTTTGTAAGCCACTGCCACAACCATGTGGGAGATGGGGATGTGCCTATTAGAGTCTGGAGAACAAGCAGTTGAGTGGTAGTGGCAAAGTTCACCTGACTCCTACCAGCCTGAACCCCTAAAATACTTGAATTGCTGTGAATATGATCTTGGAGGCAGCATTTGCTCTGCTTGCATGACAGGGTCATAAGTGGCTTCAGTCTAGCCTATCTTCTTTCATGTTGGTGATGGCAACAGATGAAACCTCAGTCCTTGAAAAGCTATGTACGCTTGTGTCACCACCTCCTTTGTAAGCCTGTCCTGACTAAACAGCCACCTCTTGACATTTGCAGTGAATCCTGTATCACCAAATGTCAAAAGTTGAGCAGACCTGGAAGCTGTGTCTTGTCAATGAGGCTGTCCATGGCAAACCTAGTGAGATAATGGGCGTCCTGGAGATGCATGTCTTTCAAATGGGTGGAAAATGTTGTGGGGTCCCAGAGGTTCACTGTGTGTAACTGTGTCCAGGGTTGCATACTGAATGCAGCCTGACGCATGTCATCTCCTTTAGTCTAGTTTTTACCACTTTTGGTTCCATGGGGAGAGCACTGCTTACTCAGTACATACTAGATTTTCATTTTTACTGCATTACTATTTCCAAAGAGGTTCAGTGTTGTTGCCTGTGGTAGTTTCAGGTTGGTCAATATTGCTGGCAAATTCCACCAGGTAACTTCTAAAGCTCACATAGGTTATAGACTAGTATATATGCAACCTTATTTATAGGAGAATAAACTTGTAAAGTTCTAGTACACCTAACAGTTGTTGAAGTGATAACTCCATTACAGAAGGATTATATATCTCTTAATAAATGTCAGCTACAGTATTGAAATTCCTCCAGCAAACAGATGCAAGCCAAGGGTGTTTATTGCTGCAATGGCTGTCTTTGCCAGACCTATGCTTTAGTGTGGAACAAGTCTGTTGACTTTATTTTCCAAAGATGGGTCCAATCATCAGCCCATACTGTTGTAAGTAGTCCTGGTATTCAAAGGGGGCAACTGTGCTGTCTTAATGTAATAGGGAGTAGTTCATAAGGCTCTTCTCTGGTAGTTTTTAGAGCAGTTTTATTAGGGAGTAACTAGACCCAAAGAGGTTGATGGGCAGAGGAGGTAAGCTTTTACTGTAATATTCTGGTAGTGGTAATAAATACTTTGTTAATTCTGCCAGATCTGTTCAGGAGATGGAACTGCAGCTATCTAATGAGCAGGAATCCCTGCTATATGGCATTTTAGAGCAGAGAAAACAAAAATGATGCTAACTGGATCTTCTATTGTGTTTCAGTGTCGCCCATCCAAAGGCCGAAAGAGAGGTTACTGCTGGTGCGTGGATAAATATGGACAGCCACTTCCCGGGTATGATGGGAAGGGAAAAGGAGATGTCCACTGTTATAACTTGGAAAGCAAGTGAGGGCTGGGTGCCAGCTCTTCTGGCATCTGTGCGTGGCCACTGGACCTCGCAGAGACGTCGGAGGGGCTGGGCAAACACTGTGGACTGCGTTGTGAGTGAAGAGCTCTGCCTTCTGTGGTGGATGGGGAGGCGCAGCTTCTGCGGACACTGCTGCACCCCACCACCAACACGCACCAGGCTTCCTATAGGATGTGTAGGGAGCTCTGAATTCCCACGAAAACCTGCACTATTGATACCCAGAGAGAGAGAAAAAACAAAAGGCACTTCAGAACGGATTCAGGGAGTCTCCACTGACTTTTTAAAGAATGGCCTGTGACCAATTTGATCCCGAAAGATACTGGTTTTTTATTGTAAAGAATTTATAGATTGTAAGCTGGTTAAGAGCATTAAAGGGAAAAAAACTCCTACAAAACAAAACAAACCCATAAGGATTTAAAGATTAAGCTTTTTTTTACAGGTCTGACGGGAAACTTATCTTCACGGGTAAAAAGTTTTATAAAAATCTCAAAGAACTTTTTAAAGAAACGTATTTCTAAAATAAAGACATGGCTATTTTTTCTGTAAAATATATTATGAATATTCTGTTAGTCTGTATTTAATATAATTGTTTTTTTTAATAAACTTTATTTAAATGTAACATGTGAATACCAAATACTACACAATAATTCTAGTGTATACTTCTGTATGCAAGGAGAAAGTAAGGGTATGGAATGATTTACAAATATGTATAGATCCATATGCGTACACACTGACCTGACCTATTCTAGGTAATAGAAATGAATTTGTGGAGTGAAGGAAGTGTTTCCAGAAGAGAATAAGTTGTTATTTGAAGTCACTACAAATACCAAGATAATTTTTTTTATTATTATTATTATTTTATTGGTATTTCTAATGTACCCATCACTGAATTATGCCACTGGAAAGGATAACAGTTGCACTGAAGCTCTCAGTAAAGCATTCTTCTGTCTGTCCTTTGCTTCAGTTTGTGCAACAGGGCTTTCATTTCCTTCATTTCCTGCTCACACTAATATTGAATATTCATGAGAAAAAAAATGCCATTTCAGTAGCACCCTTTCTATCTGCTTATTTATTTTGAAAAGCTGTGTCTATTCTGTTTTGTCTTGGTACACTCTACCAAAGCACATATTCTGTATGAGGAACTCCTGTTGAAAACGATACTGACAAGACGGGGGGGATCATGGACCTGGGTGTTGAAACCCACGCGCTTCGTTTATGCTACACACAATTGTTGCTTGCTTTGACTTTGGTAGAAATTAGTTGCCTGCATCTAAGCATAGAATAAGAACCCTTGGGTTTAAATATTTAAACCAAATGCCTGCCATGATGTTTTATGTCCTTTTAATTGGAAGCAAAGTGATTTGGGTTTGTTCTGGTATGTGACATAAGGAAGATTTGGGCAACATTTGGGGATTTTTGAGGCTGATTGTTTACTGAACTTCATGACAAATTCTGTATGACAATGAAATCTGGATAACAAAAGGTGGCCTGTGAAATGTAACATCTCTCTGGAAAGTAATGCCATATTTTGTATATGTATTTATTTATATATTTTAT